CTGCATGGCCGTTTTCAGTGGATTTGGGTGGCTTGCTGGAGCCAGCTGCTGGATGAGGCCGAGGGTCATCCAGTGAGTGCCCCTTCTCCAGCAGTGGCTGCACAGGCGTCACAAGCAGGGAGTTGGGGATGGTCCCCTTTGGTGGGCTGGGGGACGCATGCACGGCCTTTCTGCACAGTGTCCGCATCGCAGTCATGGTCAACAGACCACCGTTGCTGATCCTTTGTTTAAAGTCACTGAAGCTGCACAAGACGTTTTCTGGGGCCAGTGCAGAAGAGCTCTTGTTCCGGCGTGTGGGTGGAAGAGATCAGAAGGGAGGGCGAGGAGTTACCTTTGGGCTATCCCTTTCCTACAGCAATGCCCATCGGCCAAGGCACTCCCTCCCCCTCCCCTCCCCTCTCAGTTTAGGATTTGTACAGGAGTGAAGCTTAAGGGCCAGCTGCCCCTCGCCCCCGTGATGAGCCGGTCCAGGGCTGGCCAAGCTACATGGCTCAGAATAAAATCTCTGGAGGGGCCGAGGGTCTTAATCTTGGATGGAGGGAGGTGACGTGCTGAAATCCTAACGGAGGTTTTCTGGCTTCCCTTTGGAAACTTGACCCCTCCTCCTGATCATAATCCAGTGTCCAGTGGCAAAGGGAGTGCCCCTGTTTCAAAGGACCTGCATTGCTCTGTGGTGCCATTTGCATGCAGAAGATGAAGTGTGCCAGGTCTGTTTCAGCGGAAAAGAGCCCCGGGTGAGCAGGGACTTGGGCTGATGGCCCTCCCCCTGTGAATCCTTGCTGGGGGTTAGCTCCTGGAGCTGACATTGCAGGAATGCTTGCTTTCTAGTGCTTCTCTCTCTGGACTTTGTTCCCCTCCTGCAGCTCCCTGTGGAGGGAACAGCTGCAAGATCTGGGAAAGGCTGTGTTTTGGAGAGTTGGTGCTGTTTTTTAAAGAAGCATCGGAGGCTGCCTTATCTTCCAATGCAGTTTTTCCAGTTGCAGGAATTCAATTTTACAGCACAGCCATGGACTCCGCATGGTGGGAGTCCTTGCAGTGACGGTCTCCACAGCCAGAGGGACTCCTGGAGGTCACTCACCTCTGCCCATCCATGCATCCCCTTCTCCCTCTGCTTCCTGCCCTGTTTGGCTCCAGCATCTTGTCATCATGTTGACAAGCAAAGCAACACGAGTGAATCAGGGCGTCTTTGCGCTGAAAGGCAGAGGAGAGGTGCATCTTGGGAGACGATGCTCTGGAGGCTGCTGTGAGCCACCGCTTCGCTGCTTGGCAGGCCTCAGATGACCTCTACGGCAGGACACGCCCACATCATCTCTCTGCTGGCAGCGAAGGCCTGGAAACAAGCCGTGCATTTAACGAGGGGGGACGCTTGGCTTCTGCAGCCTTGCGTGCATGATTCAGGTCAAGTACATCCGCATGAAGTTCCCAACTCTTCACGGAGCAGTCTACTTCTGCTAGTCCTGTGGGGATGCAGGACTCCTGGCTGCTAGCAATCCTGCTCAGCAGCCCTTCTGGCTTCTTTTTGCCAAGCATCGCCTATCTGTTTTCAACCCTATTTTCACGGTCTGAAGAGCAATAAGCTTGTTTTTTAAAACAAGAAGCGAAACTCTTGCCTCTTGGAGGAGGAAACCTGAAGCCAACCCATAGGATTGGGATTCGGACTGGACTGCCCCCGGCCCTCGGCACCCCTGCTCCCTGCTGCCCTGCCCTGAGCAGCGGCCTGCCCAGCCTGGCCGAGATGCGTTCCAGTGTGCTCAGCCTTTGGGAGGAGAATGCCAGCTGGCTGCGAGGGCATCCTGCCCCCAGCAGAGCCGGGCAGGGGTGGCAGGCGGGCACCGGCGGGCTCAGCCTCGGCCAGCGCTCGCCAGCGATTTGGGTGAGGAGGTGCAGGGAGCGCTGCGCCAGCTGCAGGCCAGAGGCCGGAGCTCTGCACCAGGAGCAGCAGCACAGCATTCAGAAGGGGCACGGGCCAAGCTCTATCTGCCGCAGGGTGGGAGATGCTTGGCGCCACAGTACTGCCTGTGAGAACGATCTTGGAACCGTTGCAGAACACGAACGGAACAGGAGTCAACAATGCGATTGGAAAAAGGGCAAATGCTACTTTGGGCTGTGTTAATAGAAATGCCGTTTCCCATTGGGTGAAGCACTAGTTCAGAATACTAGTCCTAGAGTATTTATTATACTTATCCCCTGCCTTTTTAACTTCCCAGGAGCTCAAGGCTGCTGACAAAATTCTCCTCCCGCTCTACATCGTATCCGCACAGCAATCACCCTGTGAGGGAGGTCAGGCTCAGAGTCTGTGGCTGGCCCACAGTTAGCTCCGTGGCTGAGTGGGGACTAGAACCCAGATGGCTTGAGTCCCAGTCCTACAATCTTGACCACCATACCACACTGGCTAGGCCTGAGAGGGAGTCCTTTGTCCAGTTCTGGGGACCACAGTGGAAGAAAGGTGAAGGCAAGCTGGAAAGGGCTCAGAGGAGGGCAACGAGGGTGATCCGGGGACGGGAAGCAAAGCCCTGGGTGGGGAGATGGAAAGACGTGGGCCTGTTTAGCCTCGAGAAGAGAAGGCCGAGGGGAGGTCGGCGGGCACTCTACAAGCACTTGGAAAACTGTCACAGAGGGGGAGGACGGGATCTCTTCTCGATCGTCTCAGAGCGCAGGACGTGGAATAACGGGCTCAGGCAACGAAAAGCCAGATTCCAGCTGGAGATCCGGAAAAAACCCGACTGCCAGAGCAGTACGGCAATGGAGCTCATGACCCGTGACCCATGGAGGCAGCGGGCTCTCCCGCCCTGGGAGCGTTCAAGAGGCAGCTGTGAGGAATGCTTCGACTGCCTGGAGCAGAAAGTGGAGCCTGGTAGCTTTCCCGGCTCCTCCCAGCTCTGCCCTTCTGCGATTCTGTGAGCCGCATGGAGCAGGGCAGCAGGGCGGTTGCCAGGGTGGTGCATGGCTCTCCACATGCAGGCGTCCCTTTGTCCTCCCTCATGCTCCGCAGCTCTCAGTCCGAAGGCCTGAAGCTTTTCTCCATTCCTCTGCTTTGCTGATGCAGTTGGCCATTTTGCCAGGAAAGAGAAAAGGCCAAAGCCAATGTGGGTCTCATGGGAATGGCTCCTTCGCCACAGCTGCCTCTCTGCTGATTTTCACTCTTCCGCTCTCCTGGATTTCCCTGCTCTGCTCCTGAGCCAGCCAGCCTCGTTCCTCCAATCTGCTTCCCCCAGCAGGAAGAGCGGCGGCCACTCTCTCCTCTTAACCCTGTTATCAGGGGTTTATTCTTCTGCTGCTCTCTGCAAAGCAGCAAATGTGAAATCCGATTGTGCTGACGCAGCCTCCCCGAGTGGTCTGCCAGCAGGAGCCTGCCGCTTGCTGATCAGGTCTGGGGGCCTCGACGTGGGGCAGCCCTGGTTCTCTGGGGTGCTCCTTGTGCATTTGGGCAGATGTGTGCAATCTCATGGCTGCATGACCCTGAAAGGAACAGCGGGATCTCGCATGCTCCGCTGCAGGCTGGCAGGGGGTGGACTTGCTTGGCTCAGCTCGGTGCTCAGCTCGGGGTTTTCCAGGCGGTCCACACTCTTGGCCTTTTCTCTACCCTCTGGAGCAAAATGGAGCATTCCGCATCCCGGAGTACAGGACACAGGATAATGGATTTAAGGGACAGGAAGCCAGATTCTGGCTGGCATCCGGAGGAACTTCCTGACTGCTAGGGCCGTATGACAATGGAACCAGTGACCTGGGCAGGCGGTGGGCTCTCCCACGCTGGAGGCCTTTCAAGAGGCCACTGGACATCCCTCTGCGAGGGATGCTTTGACTGGCAGTCCTGTCCTGAGCAGGGGCTGGTAGCCTGCTGGCCTTCTGGCCCCTTCGGCTCCATGAGGGTATGAGCATGACCTTCCCAGATGCGCATGGAGCTCGTCCCTCCGGGAGGATGCTGCAGCCCCCTCTCACCGCTCGGGATTGCTGCGTGAGATGCGGCTCGGGTGGGTGTGTCCTCAGCCTCCCCGGCAGGGGCACATCTGCACCACGCCACCAAGCTGAGGGCCCTGCCGCCACCCAGCTGCCCTGCACGGAGGGTGCCGACTCCTGGCTTGGTTTGTGGAGAGAGGAGGCCAGGTCTGTGGGAGCCGGGACAAGGCTGCTTCTCTGGGGGGCAGCACGATGCAGGCAGCAGCAGGAGGGCTCCCCTCGTGTTCTTTGAAGGCGCTGTGGGGTGCATTTTCAACCGTGCTGGCTTGTGATGTGCTGGTGGAATCGGTGGGAGCCAGGCGGTGCAGACTCCCCAGGCCGCCCTGGCCCCCCTTCGCTAGCAGCCCCGCTTTGGTGAGCTCCAACAGTGCCAGCCCCCCTCCTTTGGTGAAGTTCCACTGCCAAACCAGTCCTAGTCCCCCTTCAGCCCCCCGCGCGCCTCTTCCTCATGCCCGCCCGGGCCGGCAGGACCTTGCACTTCGCGCTGGGCTCTTGGACTTGGCCAGGCATGTCCTGCTGCTGGATTGCTCCATGCAATCCCGGAGGAGTTGCTCCCAAGGAGGGTCTCCTGCTCCGCCAGTGGGAACTTGCTCTGGGTGCGGCTGGGGCTCATGGGACAGGCACGCTCTTCCAGTGTCTTCAATGACTCCGACGGACTCTGGAGCAGACCCTGTGTTTCTAGTGGGCTTTCACACAGCTAGAATGTTCTGAGAGGGTCCTTAGTTCGGTAAAGTTAGGAATGCTATTAGGGATGCTAGAATACATTAAAATACATATTTAAGTGTGCAATTATGTCCTTTTAAAATTGCAAACTAATGGGCAAGTGAGATGAAACTGATGCACGCTGGGGCATGTGCAGCGATGGCACCCAAAATCAGGCTGCGTCGCTTGTCCCTGATCCAGACACACGAAGAGAGGGATTCTGATGTGCTTGGCGTGGGATCTGGAATGTTTCCTCTGATTTGGCCGACTTCGTTGGAAAGCTCTTGTCCTGTCTCTGCCGCTCTTCTAATCTCTCTCTCCCCGTCCCTCTCTGCTTCCAGAGCTCCTGGGATCTGCCAAGAGGGTGAATGTCAATTTCCAAGACACAGATGGGTGAGTAAGCACCGCGCGTGCCGGCCAGCCACTGCCTGCGTGGCATGTGGGGCTGGTGCAGAGGCCCCTTCTGCAAACGGCCCGTGGCAGACCTCCGCGGGGAATTTTTCTTCGCTATCCTCCCGCAACTAACAGCCCTTTTCATGGCTTTGCAGTTGTGGGCGGCTTTCTCTGGTCCAGTGACCAAGGAACTCCCCCTCTCCCTCTTCTTTGCTCCCCAGAGTGGCCACTTAGGAGCTTTCTTTCCAGGAAAATGCATGTGTTTGTCCAGCCGTCAAATTCTGGAACTCTCTCTTCAAAGTCACCCATTTCCTCCACTTTCTGTGTTTGGACAGATGATCAAGAGGCACCTTTTCCACTTGACTTTCACAATTAAGATTTTAGCATTTATTTTAATGTTTTACTGTGCTTTTATTTGATTATGATCGTTATCTTCTGAGCATGTTAAAAATGGCTTTGGTTGGCTTCAGAAAAAGGACGTAGAAACAAAATCAGGAAAAAGAAATCTTGCGCTCTACCCTGACAGTGCGGAAGTTATGGAAAGGGCTGTGCCTGAAGGGATTCGCCTTGCCTGTCACGTGCAGCCTCTCCTCGGGGGAGCCCCACGTGCCCCCTGCCCTTCCCTCCCAGGCACGTGCACACCGCGCGTCCTCCCGCTCGCCCACAGAGCTGCCACGGCCGGCCGAGGGCCGGGTGGTGACCCCACGCCCCGCGTCCGCATTCCGTCCCCAGGCGGTGTGAGAAGCGGGGCTGGCGCTGCCTGACTGGGTGCACGTCCCCCTTGCTCGCCGGTGGTTGGGGTGCTGCAAGTCCCACTCCCCTTTTATCCCCCAGATAATGCTGGTGATTCCGGGGGGCTGCCAGAGATTCCCAGTGGAAGGGAACTTGGCCACGTGTTTCTTGGGGCTTCTCAACCCACACTGTGCCACGCTGGCACTCTCGCGAAGAAGGCCAGCCCACGAGACTCACCGCCATGTAGATGGGAGCGTCTCCCCAGCATATAGCCCAGGTCTGTTCCCCGCTCCCAGCGCGGTCTCGTTTCCCTGTAGAGAACTCTGCACGGTCCCTGGCTCTTGCGCGTTCGAAGGAGGCTGGCTTTCACGCTGAACAAGAAGGGGGCACATTCCCCCCCGCCCTGCGCCCGCCACCCTCCACGTGCAAAGGCGGGGCTGTGCCATCGGATCTCGGCCCCTGAAGGAGCAAGCCGAGAGGACGGACGGGAGACCCCAGGTCGCAGCTGCGATGGCGGAGCGTGTGAAGCTCTCGTCCTGGCCAGTGTTCAGCTCTAGAAGTTTTATTTATTTAAAACATTTCTATGCCGCCTCATTCGCAAAGATTCCGGCGATCGGGCAGAACCAGACTGCAATGCACAATACAGTGTTGCTGTTTTTCGCTTGAAAAGAGGGCAATAAGTGATGTGATGCAAGTCCTCATAAAAGCCTGCACACGCACGGTGCAAAATGTGGGTTGGGAATCATAATTCTTTTTTTCTGCGTAAGCAGCCCAGCTTGAAGTCCTTTGGAAAGAAATAATAAACCCAAATGTGCAGCAAGGCTCAGTCTCTCTCTCTCTCTCTCTCTCTCTCTCTCTCTCTCTCTCTCTCTCTCTCTCTCTCTCTCTCTCTCTCACACACACACACACACACACACACACAGAGAGAGAGAGAGAGAGAGAGAGAGAATCTCTCCTGCCACTCAAGAACTTCTCTTCCTCCTTCCCTACAAAGCAGGTCTCAGGCAAAACCGGCAGCTGCGCTTCGGCTGGGCTCCGCTGAGGCGAAGGCAGGGCCCCCCACCTCGATGCAGCATCTGCTCCGTGTCCCCTTGGCCTGCTGGCCCTTCCTGGCAGCCCTCGCGGGCCCGGGAGCGAGCGGGGCTCGCGGGAAAGGGGGGGGGAATGCCGTGCGACCCCCAGGCAAGGCTGTGCCTCTCCACAGCTGCAGGGCAGGGCCAGAGGAGCAGCACCGGGCACGCCATGAGCTTTGCAGCCCCTCTGTGCGCAGGATGGGCGGGCGCCCCGTGGACAGCCAGCGCGTGGCTTCATGCTCGAGAGCCACGCCGGAGGGCCGTGTGACCAATTCATCTTGTGCCATCACTGGAAAAACTGCAGCGCTGTGGGCTTTGTCAAAGCCCCCGCTTCTACGCCAGGCATTCCTCGCAGGTTACATTACCTCTTCTTGGGTTTGCGTCAGTGGAGGCTGGTCCTGGGCTACTGCGGAAAAGACTGGAGCGAGTGAGCCTGGCTGGATGCGCTGGAAGCAGTCGACACGCTCGCTCAACCTCAGGCGAAGGAACGTGAAGCTGGAGAACCACCGAGATGGAGGAATCCCGGACAAGACCCCCTCAGGCAGCCAGTGTGGGACTGGCGTCTGCTTTGGGTGCTTCCCCACATGCACCCCTCCCTGCAGGCAGCAGGCTAGTGGGTCAGGGAGCAGGCTGTGCTCAGTCCTTCCTCTCTGGTGTGCCTGTTTACTACATGCAGGAGTTACGTGTGTGGAGGGGCAGGGCCCTTGGAAACTGAGCGGTAAGGACATGTCAAGAAATACTCTGCGAGAACGAAAGAGGAGACTTGCGGAGCCACCCCAGCGGGACCCTTCCGCTGCCTCTCCAGCCGCCATTCTGTGCACCGGCAGGCAGAGGCTTTCCGGCTGCACTGAGAGATGCCGCACCTGGGATTCTGCGGAGCAGGAGAGACTCTAGCCATGAGCTGCAGACCCTGCCAAATTTCGTCTCAGCCTTCCACCTCTTTTTTGATCATGACATCAATCAGTTTTCTTGAAAAGGCCTGTCTTGCTATTCTGCCTGAAGACTGTCAGAGAAGCCAACAATAATTTAAGATCTAACCACTTAATCCAAAAAGGCCTATGCCATTTCAGTCCCTGGTCCAAAAAAGACCTCCCATGGCAGCTGAGCCCTCCCTTGCACCACTGAGGGCAAAGAGGATGCCCCATGGCAGCTTTCGGGATTCCGTGTTCTAAACCAGAAACTGGCCATGGAGAGTTGTTGTGTGATGTGAACCTGAGCCTCTTCCTGCAGGGTGGCTTGTTTGTAGGCAACAAGCCATCATGACAACCCATGGCTTGTAGTAGGAAACCAGGATGACTGAACTCATTGTGGGCTCATGTGCCAGGGCGGCAGCAGCATCCCCCCCCCCCCCCTTCTCTTGCCAAGCTTGTCCAGGCCACTGCTTCATCAGGACCCACAGGACGCACTGGAGTGGCTGCCCCCTTGCTGGCTGCGGGCCCTTGTGTGCTGCTGCGCCTTTCCCCCACCCTCTCTGCTGGGAATGGCCGTTGCTTTTCGTGACCTCCAACGTGTCAGCCCTTCCAGGGCTGGGGCAGCTGTTGCTGGCTTGCTGCTTTATTATTTTTGTGTCCCAAATTTACACAATGTCCTCATCGTTTCCTTCTGATCTTCCACAGTGGTGCACTTTCAGGTGACTGAAATTAAAAACCTTGCCAAACATCCTAGCACTGTCCTGGGAGCCACCTCCTGATTTTAGGTACTGAGGAAGGTGGCAAAGTGCAAGTCATCCCATTTAAAGAAGCATTTGGTTTTGACAGGAGCTATCAAAACACAGGGACACATGCATATTCATATGCCCCTGTCCAAAACCCCTAATTAGCCCTGCGGGGGGGGGGGGGGGTTAAAAAGAAACCTTTTAAAGCCCCCCGTCAAAAATTCAGGCCCCTGTACAAGGGGGGGGGGGGGTCACACTTTTCCACCTTCCTGAGTACCTAGAATCATAGAATAGTAGAATTGGAATGGGCCATGAACACCACTGGGCCCAACCCGTGCTGCTGCAGGACACCAAGTCACACCGTCCCGCTCGGAGGGCTGCCCAGTCTCTTTCCGAATGTCCCCAGTGTGGGAGAGCCCCCCACCTCTCCGGGCAGCTGGTTCCACTCTCATATTGCTCTGACAGAGGCAGCTTTTCCTGCTGTCCAGCCTGAACCTGGGTTGTCGCAATGATTATTCCGTGTCCTGCACTCTGGCATCAGCCAGAAGAGATCTTGACCTTCCTCTTTGTGACAGCCTTGGAGGTCCTTATAGAGGGATCTCATGTCCCCCCTGTCTTCTCTTCGCAAGGCTGAACGTGCCCAGTTCTCTCAGTTTCTCGTCACAGGGCAGTGTTTCCAAACCCTGGGCCATTTTTCTGGCCTTCCTCTGCATCCTTTCTCATTTTCTGCATCCTTCTTAAATTTTGGTGCCCAGAACTGGACTCAGTATTCCAGATGAGGTCTGACTAGTGAGGAATAGAGGGGAACTACTACTTGCGATTTGGAAGTAATACTTCTGTTAGTACATCCCAAAATAGCATTTGCCCTTTTGGTGGCTGCATCACATTGTTGGCTCATGTTTAGCCTATTGTCCACAATTACTCCGAGATCTTTTTCTTGTTCAGTTCTGTTGAGCCACGTATTCCCCATCTTGTATTGATGTTTCTGGTTTCTTTTTTCTGGGCGGAGGACTTGGCACTTGTCCTTATAGAGTCTCATTCTGGTGCTTGCAGCCAGTCTTCAAGTTTATCAAGCTCACCCTCGATCTTCATTCTGTCTCCTACGGTGTTTGCTATTCCACCCAGTTGTGTATCATCTACAAATTTGATTATCTTTTTATTATTATTATTATTATTACTATTATTATTATTATAACAACATTTCTATGCTGCCCCTTGCTGAAGCCTCAGGGCGGCTTACAACACAATAAAATACATTGAAATACAATAGAACATTAAATACAAAAATACAAAAAATACACTGAGTTACAAACATAATAATATAAAATTAAAATTATCAGTATAAAATAAGTAAATAAATAATATAGGAGGAGAAAAGAGAAGGAAGAAGAAGTTGCCCTGGCCAGATCATATGTTTTAACAATTCAAATGATGTTTAAATAAAAAGGTCTTTACCTGGCGCCGAAAAACCAGTAACGACGGTGCCAGGCGGACCTCTTTGGGGAGTGAATTCCATAGGTTGGGTGCCACCACAGAGAAAGCCCTCCTCCGAGTACTTACTCTCCTAATTTCTTCCATGGAGGGTTCCTGGAGAAGGGACTCTCCCGCGGATCTCAAAGGGCGGTCGGGCATATACGGACGTAAGCGCTCGTTCAGGTAGCCAGGACCCAAGCCGTTTAGGGCTTTATAGGTCATAATCAACACCTTGAATTGGGCCCGGGCTTCAATGGGAAGCCAGTGAAGCTGACGGAGGACTGGAGTCATGTGAGCATAACGCCCCGTCCCCGTCAGCAACCTGGCAGCTCTATTTTGCACCACTTGAAGCGTTCGGACTGTCTTCAGGGGAAGCCCCACGTAAAGCGCGTTACAGAAGTCAAGGCGGGAAGTCACCAGCGCGTGTGTCACCGTCGCCAGGCAGTCGTACTCCAGGTAGGGGCGCAGCTGATTAATCAGCCGAAGCTGAAGGAAGGCGCTCCTTGCCACCGCTGTCTGTCCTTGTATGCCCAGGACTGAACCCTGTGGCACAAGGTTTGTCTGGCAGGACCTGTTTTTGCGGAAGCTGTGTTGTGTGGCTGCCAACCTCCTTTCCCTACCTAGGGTTACTAGATTGCTCACTATTATTTATTTATTTATTTAAGATATTTGTATTATGTCCTTGCGAGAGCCTCAGGACGGCTTACACAAATAAAATTCAATACATAACATTATAACATAAATAAATTAACAACCCACTCTGGCTGCAACTCACTTTTGTTGCCAGCGGTTTAGACATTAATGGCTGTATGTTGAGTTATTTTGAGGGGACAGCAAATTTACACTGTTATACAAGCTGTATACTCACTACTTTACATTGTAGCAAAGTGTCATTTCTTCAGGGTTGTCACATGAAAAGATATAATATATTTACAAAATGTGAGGGGTGTACTCACTTCTGTGTTATACTGTTAAGTACAACTCTCTAAGTACTCTCAGGTGTAACCCGTCAGGGCCTGGCGCCTTTGTAACGTCCAATGCCCTGAGGAGCCCCTCGACTTCTAGGGGGTGACTCTAATCTGTGTCCCTAAGTCCCCGGCCTCATCTAATCTCCTGTGCGGATCTCCCCCATCCTGCTTTGGGGAGACACAGCAGCAAAATTTAGCATCCGTGCCCGTTCCCTCACATCAGGCACTAAATCTGCTTCCTCCTTCTTAAGTGGCTCCACCACCTGTCTTCCCTCCCTCTTGCTAACTGTGGCCACCCATAACAAAGGGCTGGTGTTGAGTTTGGGGGTGGCGGTGGCTGGGGGACAGAGGCCTTCAGCAAACTGAAGGAAGGTGGCTTGGAAGAATGCAGCTTGCTGGGGTCGCATCTCTGTCCGTGACCTCTCCTTGCAGGTTCTCTGCGCTGCACCACGCTGCCCTAAATGGAAACATAGAGCTCATCTCACTGTTGCTGGAGGCCCAGGCGGCCGTAGATATCAAGGATAATAAAGGCAAGTAGGGGCAGTGGGGACTGGATGCAGGGCAGCTGCCTGGTGTGCAGAGAGGGAGGGGTGGGCAGGACTCCTGGGGGGGCTGGGCAGGAAGGGGAGAGCACCCTTGCCAGGCCCCCAAAAGCGCCCGGGCAGCGCTCACCGGGCGACCAAGCTGGGTCGGCCCATTCTGAGACCGTGCCGGGGCCTCCTGTCCCCTTCCCAGCATTCTGACCCCGAGGGATGTGCCCCCTTGGGCAGCTCGGGGGAATCCAGGAGTCGCGGCATCAGGCTTCCTCCCTGCGGGGCGGGCGGTGCCCCGGCCCTGTGCCCTCGCCCGCCCACGCCTTCCGGCGGGACTGGGGCCCCGGGGGCCCGGCCTGACAGCGGCGCCGCCTCTCCCCGCAGGGATGCGGCCCCTGCACTACGCGGCCTGGCAGGGCAAGAAGGAGCCCATGAAGCTGGTGCTGAAGGCCGGCTCGTCTGTCAACTCCCCCTCGGACGAGGGGCAGATCCCGCTGCACCTGGCGGCCCAGCACGGGCACTACGACGTGGTGAGGGCTGGGGCACTGGCCCTGTGCCGCTCTGGCCGTCCCTGGGCACGAAGGCCCCGTGTCCGTGGTGCCTCGTGCCCCGGCCTGGAGGGCGGGGGGCAGAAGGGGGGCCCGCCACGGAGGGCCCTCTTGCTGGCTGGGCTGGGCTGGGCTGGGCTGGGCTGGGCTGGGCTGGGGCGGGGCGGGGCAGCTCGAGGGGGCGCAAGGTGTGCGGAGCTCGGGGGGCTCAGCCGTGCCCCGGCCCTCCCTCTCTCGTAGTCAGAGATGCTGCTGCAGCACCAGTCCAACCCCTGCATCCTGGACAACTCCGGGAAGACCCCGCTCGACCTGGCGTGTGAGTTCGGCCGGGTCGGGGTAAGTAGCCCGCCCGCCCCGGGGTGCCGTCTCGGGGCAGGCCTGCCGTGGCAGGGGGAGCGGGGCCGGGTGAGGATCCATGAGCGGGGAGCGGGGGGGGGGCGTTGTCGCCGCTGCTCCTTTACAGGGCCGGGGAAGATGGCCGCACTGCCGCCACCCTGGGCTGGGCTTGCTCGCTTTGTGAAGGGCCCCATTTCCCTGCCCTTTCCGTGTTCCTGGGGCTATTTCGACACCCCTTGCTTTCCCCCCTCTGGAGAGCTGTGGGACCGGTTCGTTTTGAAATTGGAGGGGCAGAGGCCGGCCCGGCCCGGGGTCTGTGGTGGGAGCGCCAGGGAGCGCATGCCTCGGCCGGGGCAGGAAAGGAGGCGCTCCCTCAGGCAGCGGCTCGGCCCGCGGTGGCTCCAGCACACTTCTGCTCCCCTCGTGGCCTCGATGCACGAGGATGTGGGAGGTGCCCGGGGTCCCGCGAGGGCCGGCGTTCCTGGGGGGGGGGACTTGGCCTGGCCCAGCCCCTCTGACCCACGGATCTGCGGGGGGGCGGGCTGTGGGGGCTTCCTCGGGCAGCCGCTGGGGCGTGCCGAGGGGGTAGTGGAGGCGGGGGGGGGGGGCGGCCCCGGCCACCCTGCCCGCCCCGCTGCGGCACTCCTGCTCTTGGTCCCGCAGGTGGTGCAGCTGCTGCTGAACAGCAACATGTGTGCTGCCCTGCTGGAGCCCAAGCCGGGCGACGTCACGGACCCCAACGGGACCAGCCCGCTGCACCTGGCCGCCAAGAACGGGCACATCGACATCATCAGGTCAGCCCTGGGCGGGGGCATGCGGCCGCCTGGCGCCGGGGTCCCCACATCACGCAGCGGGGGGCGCTGGGAGGGAGCCCCCCGGAGAACTGGGCTAGGCCTCCCCCGGGGATGCCGCTAGGGCCACATGCAGCACTGGCTCCCTGCGGAGAGGAGGGGGCTGGCCTTGCTGTCGAAGGCAGGTGGGCACTCCAGCACCAGGCCTGGCCTCTGCAGAAAGCGGGGGTTCCTCGCAAACAAATTTTCTTTATTTATTACACTTTCCTGCTGCCCGTCACCTGAAGGTCTCTGAACTATTAACTGAGAACATCAAGTGCAGTATAAAAATGCGGGGGGCGACCATGTTAAATGCCAGTGAGAACGAGGGAAAGACCAGCTGGCCGTTCCAGGACCTCACATGCAGTGCAGGCTGGGAGCAAACTTTCTAGCACCTCAGCGTGTGGCTTGCAGGCTGCAGGGCTTCCCGGGACCTTCCTGTGGGATCACCAGCACTTCCCAGCAGCCCACCCCACACGGAAGCCCCAAATCACACGTGCCGGCTGGCGTGATGGAGCCGCGGTCCCCACGCTGGGAGGGCCCCAGGCTGCAGGCCTGGGGCCGTGGTGGGGCGGCCCCTGCCTGGTGTTCACCCTGGAATCCCAGGGAAAGGAGGGGCCTGGGCCTGCCGCTGTTTCCCAGTCCAGCCCACCCCCGGCTGGCCCCCCTTCCTCCCGGCTCCCGCCAGGTCCCGTGCCTCGCTGCGGCAGGGGATTGACCCAGCCTCCCCGGTGCATTAGCCACGAGATTTCAAATCCCACAATTGCTGGGTCCCCCTTCTGCAGTTGGGAGGGGGGCTCCGGCCAAGGAGGAGCCAGGAATGGCGGGGGGTGGCAGGCAGCCCCTCCCAGCTGCAGCATGCGCACCCGCTAACCTTGTGTTTGGGCATCCACACGGGAGGGGTGCTCCTCATGGGCCGGCCACTCTGGCGCCTGCCAGGTGGCCTCTTCCGCACCAAAGCAGCTCCCAGGGGCGCCTGGGCGCTGCCTGCGTGGTCCAGTGAGCCCCCCTTGGACGGCCACGGGTGGCGCGTCAGTGGCACCTTTCCCCCCTCCTGCATCCCGGGCGTGTCGGAAGCGCCATGGCCACAGGCACCCGCAGACGGCCTTCGCGGGGAGGGAGCACTGTCCTGCCGCCCTCGAGACCACTGACCGCCCGCGTCCTGCTGGACGAGAGGAGGCGTAGCCGCGCTGTTCTGCGGGGGGGCTCCAGGGGGTGGCACTGCCCGTTGGCGGGGCAGTTGGGCTGCTGCTCACCCAGAGGGCGCCGGAGCGCCTCCGCTGAGCCCGGGGGCCCCGCTGCGTCACGGTGTGGGTGTGTGGAGGCCGCCGAGGGCAGCTGGCCAGAGATCTGCTAAGGGGCGGCACTCCTCCTCCCCACAGTGGTGCAGCCACCCGTGCTCCAGGGACCTCTCCTGGCTGTGCCAGGCTCACGTTGACTGGGACGCGCACCCTGGCTCCACCGTGCAGCAGGACCCTTGCTGAGCCGGGCTTGCCAGCCTCCCCCTGGCCAGGCGGGGACCTCCCCCCGCCTCCCATTCGCAGCCGGCATCCTGCTTTGTCAGCGGGACCCCTCCCCACTCCACAGCGTTGGCTCCGAGGTGGCTTTCGAGGGAGGTGGGCACGGCTGTTTGCGAGCCCTTTGCTCTGCCTGACCTCCCCCCCGGGCCATTCCGTGGTTGCGACACCCTGTTGTCACTCCGGCCTGTGAAATGGCGGCTGCTCCCTGCAGGGGTGGGGGTGGCCCATGGGATGGGAGGATCGCTTCCGGCTTCAGGGTGGAATGGCACTGGGTCAGAAGGTACGGTTTTCTTTTCTGCTTTAGATTTATACGCGAGAGGGACGTCCTGCTTTTGAGTGGTCCCTCTTTTAACACACGGTGCGGCTGCATGGCCAAGAGGAGCGGGGCCCGCAGAAGAGGTTCTGCTCCGGGCACCCCAGGGTGCAACTTCCCGGCACCCACACCCGCCTCTGGGGGCGGCTGCCGCACATGTGACGGCAGAATAGGCCGCGCCACCACTGCATGGGCTCCCTGGGGGCCTGCCAGTTTCCAGGCTCCGGTGGACGGGCCGCTTTTCACTTCCTGGTTCCGAGTGCCCCCGGCCTGGCTCTCTGGGGTGCCGGTCCCGGCGGTGCAGCCTGGCAGGAGGGGCCCTCCAGAAGAAGCCCCACTTGCCGGCTGCCTTGCCGCAGCCCCCCGGGCTCAGAGCAGCCCGGCTGGCCAATCCTCGCCCCGCTGCCCCCGCGGAGCAGCGCCTGCTGGCCCGGGAACGGAGCCTGGTGCTCGCTCACACGCTCGCTCCGTCGCTCCTGCAGGCTCCTGCTCCAGGCCGGGATCGACATCAACCGGCAGACCAAGGCGGGCACTGCCCTGCACGAAGCCTCCTTGTGCGGCAAGACGGAAGTCGTCCGCCTCCTCCTGGACGTAAGCCTCCGCCGACCCACTTGCTCGCGCCTCGCTTCTGGCAGGTCTGGCTGCCGCCCAGTGCTCCCTGGAGGGGGCCTGCAGGGCTCCGGCTGCGGGTTCCAGCCTCCGTGCCGTCTCCAGACCTGCCGCCGGGCAGCTCGCGTTGCCAGACGTGCTCTGGGCCAGGCCCCTCAGGCACATGCGCTCTTCTCCTGCCTGTTCTGCAGAGCGGGATCAATGCTCACATCCGGAACACGTACAGCCAGACTGCCCTGGACATCGTCAACCAGTTCACAGCCACGCAGGCCAGCAAGGAGATCAAGCAGATGCTGCGAGGTGAGGGGCAGCTGGGTGTGGGAGAAGCAGCTCTGCTGAGGGGGGTCTCTGTGGGGCAGCAGTTCCCTCAAGGCGGGAGGCCTGGCAGAAAGGCTCTCACAGCCGGCCAGCCAGCATCTCCAGGAGAACACGCGAGGTGCCCTTTCCACAACCACAAGTCCATTAATGCAAATGGTAGCCATAATATTATGGCACTCTATCTCCCTCTAGTGCTTTTTAGGTAAGGAATCAATGATCGCATCTTAGCCTTCATGGTGGAGGCGAACTTTAAAGTGTCTTTTCATGAGCATTCGCTCTAAATAGCTCCACAGACATCGCAAAAGTGGAGTGCTGAAGTCTGGCATTCTGGAGTTCAAAGAGCATTTGAGGAAAGATGGCATTTCTGGAGTGGGGTGCAGCGTGTCCACTGAGGCTGGTGCAGACCTTGGGAGCCCGTTGCCGCGATCCCCGAAGCGTCTGGCCCGCTGCACGTGTCCCTTTCCCTCCCGTGGCCCGGGCGAGGGCCAGCCGCAGGCCGAGCGGCTCCCCACGGCACCCGCCCGCTGGAGCGAGGCGTGAGGGGCCACCCTGAGCCAGTTCCCCCTCTTTCTGCCCAGACGCTTCAGCCGCGCTGCAGGTCAGGGCTGTGAAGGACTATTGCAACAACTACGACCTGACCAGCCTCAACGTGAAAGCCGGGGACATCATCACGGTGAGTGAGGCCTCGGCATCTCCGTGCTTGTGGCACACGCCGAGGCTCGGGCAGACGCAGCGAGGAGCCCAGCCCGGCCAGTGCAGTGCGGAGAGCACAGGGTGCGGCCTACTTCTGGATCTGAGCAAGTGTCGTGTCCCCAGCAGAACCCGCAGCCGCTTGCTCGGTTGGGACCCGCTGGAGGCCTCCTTCATGCTCGCCTGGCTCAGGCCTGTGAGCGACCCGGGCAGCCCCCTGGCGGAACCACATCTGCAGGCAGTGGCCTCAAAGCCAGAATGCGTTCTGAAACATTCAGAGATGCGCCAGGCTGCTCACGATGTTGTGCCTTACGGCAGGAAAAAGAATCCAGGGTTCTTGCCCCCAGCCCGCCTCTGTGGGACAGGGTGCCACTGCAGCCCAGGGAAGCAAAACCGGCAGCCCGATGCGGGGGCCCAGTAGGGCAGAGCGCCCTCCCACACCTGGCTGCATCCTGGCCAAACTATTGCAACTGGGTGTTTGTGGAGAGCCGCTAGAAACTGCAGTCGGCCCTGGGAGGCGGGGGAGGCGATTCCCGTGTGCTGCTCCCACACTCTGGAATGGACTCCCTTTGGCGGTGCAACTGGTCCCCGCTTCCTGTCTTCAGAAAGGGGATCAAAGTGCATAGTTTTAACCTGGTTTTTGAAATGGTTCTTAGGATTGCTATAGTTGTTCTTAGGCTTTACTCAATTTTACCTGTTTGTGGGACTGGCTCGGTTGGTTTGGCAAACTGCCGTGCTTGGTTTTTCTGGGGAAACGGCATAGCAATGTTGAAGTACGTAAATAGATATGAAGCGAGGAGGGCAAACATGCCGTTAGGCATTAGCAGAGCGCAGCTGGGTGAGAGAGACTCGGAGGAAAGACTTTCAGGGCCAGAGGGTATGACTTCAGGGCAGGCTGGAGGCTCCGTGCATCCCATTTCGGAAACTAAGCGTAAGCTGGGAGGGGCAGACTCCTTCCCTCCACGCTCGCCGTGCTTTTGGCACGACCGACCATCGCACTGCTGGCTCTACCACGCAACACACCCGCTGCCCGCCTTCTCCAACAGGTCCTGGAGCAGCACGCGGATGGCCGATGGAAAGGCTGTATCCATGACAACCGGACAGGCAACGACCGTGTCGGCTACTTCCCATCCAGCCTGGTTGAGGCAATCAGCAAGCGCACAGGCAAATGTTTCTCTCTTTGGGGCTTTCTGGTATGCGTGTTTGCCCCAGTCCTGAGCCGGATGGGGCTTGTGGGGAGATGTGCAGCTGGTGCTGGACTTGCCCTGGGGGCTGCTCCAAAGCAGGCAAACCCCCGCCTTCGCCGTGATTTAGGCCTGGAGGGACAGGGAGGCCCAGGAGGTGGGGCCGCAGCCGTGTGCCGTTCGAGAGTCCCCTGCACGTGCTTGGCCACGACCAGCACGCTGCCTTCTCCCACCCGGGCTGCTACGGAAGCGAACCTGCCCCATTTCTGTCAAGCAGCAAAGCGTGGCTGCCCATGGGCTTCCCTGGGAAAGCGCGCATTTTGGCATCTCTGAGACAAGCTTTGGCTCTGGCTCCGAGTGAGCAGGCTCCGGATCAGCCCAAGGAGATCCGGGCTTCTCCTGGCGTCAGAACCAGGCCCCACAGTATTTCTTGTGGCCAAACACACCCGTCCCTCCCTCTCTCCCTCCCAGCTTCCTGGATGCCACATGCTGTCCTTGGGTTGTAGAGGCCAGCTGCCCAAGCTCTGGCCCAAGGGCAAAGCACCCGCGGTCGGCCCAGAGTTGCTTGTTCTGACGGCAGTGGTTCCCCAAGGAGAGGTGGGCTAGGCCCCCCCCGCCTGATCCTTTCCACCAGAGGGGCTGCTGGCGAGCACACTGGCCATGCCGAGAAAGGTGGGATGCGGCATTGCGCAGGGAGCTCCCTGCTCGGGGTCTGGTTGCCCACCTCGACTAGCTGCACCCGGCCAGCACTCCGACGGGGCCCTTCCCAGCCTTCCTGGGAAGGCAGCAGGACACAGCCTCTTTGGAGCAGAGATCACCCCTCTCCCCAGTATTCCCACTGGCCCGTCAGTGCACTCTTCCTGGGGGGG